GCCGGAGATGGCAGACGCTATCTCTTTGCCCTCATCCAACTCCCTCGCTCTCTCGTCTAGTCCCTACTCGTCCCCTGAAACACATCTAAGTCCCTGTTTTTTTTGTACCTTGCCTATGGTCCCGGACCAAGAAGGGTCACATCCGGGAGGGCCCAGTTTTCTTTTGTGGGTGCAGTGTAGTCGGTGTCAAGCGGTCAAGTCCCACGGACAATGCGTTAGGTACCGAAGTGAAAAGATGTGGGTCTGTCCCAACTGTAGAACGGACCAAGTCCCTACCGAGAAACGGTATCTGGATGCACAAACGGCCGACGGATTTACGCTAAGTGTCCGCCAGGCAGAAGTCTGGACGGACCTTCTGTTGCTACGGAGGCTGTCAGGCGACTCGCTGTCAGAACTTACCAACGCCGAGCGGCCGAGAGTCACGGAGCGGGCATAGGACTATCGCTGGCAGGGACCGACGTTACAAAAACGAAAAGTCGATGATGACGGAGGGTCTAGCTGGTTGACGGTTCCGCACCCTTTCGCTAGGTTCGATTGGACACGAGCCGCTCATGAAAAGGATGCGGTCCATTTCGCGGTCAAGTACACGGAAAAGTCATCGAAAAGAACGGATGGTACTAGTCGGGAATTCGGGAAGATGTGAAATACACCGTTCAGAATTGTCCGGCCTGCGCGGAGGACAAGGCGCCGGTACAGATGCCTCGGACGATGGTGCCCACTCGTGTAGAGCGCCCCTTTCAGAGGGTTAGCATCGACACGACGGATATCAACGTTCCGAGAGGTCCCGTCGATCAGGGAGAGCTCAATGTTCTTTTAGTGGTCGTCGATCACTTTTCGAAATGGATCGAGGCATACCCTATGACCAACCGGAATTCGCATGAAGTAGCTTGGTACGTAAATCGATTTTTGTGCATGCATCTAGACGTAGAAGAGGTACACATGGACAATGAGTCGGAATTTCAAGGCAAAGTAGAACGTTACCTAGTCAGGGCGGACATTAAGATTATCTACTCGCCGGGGCATTGGCCTCAAGCCAATGGCCTGGTAGAGAATGCCAACCGACTGATTAAGACCGCCCTTAGACGGAATATCACTGCGGGAGACACCCGGCCCTGGCCGGTCATTGTCGACCACATCTTGGCCGTTTATCTGGCTACCCCACACGGTAGTACTGGGGTATCCCCCTTTCAACCGAGAACCAATAGTGTCCCTCGGGTGCAATTTTCCCCCTTAGTAGGTACGGAAGTTAGAGCAACACGGGCCCAGAACCGAGATAAGGCCTGCCACTACATGGACTTAATGGCTAAGGCCTAATCCCCGTTAGTTCGCCGTCGACAGAAGGCCGTAGATCGGACACATCAACGGCAGATCCGTGACTACGAGAATCGACACGCGTCGGCGGGACCACTGCCCCGCTATAAAGTTGGGGACTTGGTGCAGGTACGGAAATCTGCGCGCTCCTCCAAGATCCACCCGCGCTACACAGGCATTTACGAGGTCACGGAAGTTGGCGCACAGGGACAACACTCCGTGAAGCTGATTCCCCGTCACAACTCCTAGGCCCGACTGCTGACACGACACGCTGCCACGCTCCGGCCCATCTAGCCATCGCTAGATCCCCTACGGACCCCCGCTCCTGCGAGATCACCCTCTCCTTCTTCATCCTCCTCCTCTTCCCGATCTGCCTCGTCCATTGGTACTGAGAGTTTCAGGGAGCAGGATGAACCATCGTCAGCCGGAGCATGAGCCCCTCGAGCATTTCCAGACGCCGCTTGCAGATTGCTTGTTGCGGCATCGGTTCAATGAGGAAAGGCAGTTGCGGTACGACATTCAGCAGGTGAACGTGCGAGCGTCCGGGGTTGCTGATTTGGCAGCGTACTCGTTGCTTTCCGATCGGCTGACGTATGCGGGGGTGTACGTGGACGTGACGCAGTTGCCTGGCCGGGAGACGACTCACGTATTCATTGAGTTCCGCGCGCTCCAGGTGGCACCCAACTTCATGCACAGCATCGCCACCTTTATCGAAGACTTGACGATCCTACCACAGCCGAATCGGGAGCCGGCGCGAAGCTTTGTGCGCGAATACGCGGTGGAAGCGGCCAGATCAGTGGCCAGATTGCAAGGACGGGGGGGACACCGATTCACAGCCCACGAAGTGCTGCTGCGCAGGGCAGAGGACGGACCAATTGCGTTGGTGCCACAACTCCCCGCGCTTCTTCCTCCCGCTGTTTCTCTCAACTTCCAAGCTATTCCCCCTGTCCCGTACTAAATGCCTCCCTTCTTCTCTTACACCACCCTCCCCTATCAGCTCACGGAGGGCCCTTATCCCATGCGCGAGTTCTCAGAGTATTTGGTGGAGCTCACTGACGTGGAGCCGCTGCCCTTCGCCGACGAAGACGCGTGGGAGTTGCACCGTGCGCTGTACAAGTCGGTGGCGCTGGGGATGTTTCGGTTCTTCGTGGATCACGAAGACCACTGCATCAGGGAGCACTTTGTCATCTACTACGTCATCTCATGGCCCAAGCCAGCGGAGAAGGAAGGGACGGTGGGCTGTACCCACTCGCCCAGCTCCAGACGATCGATCCGGGATTGTTGGAGCTCATACATCTTGAGCTCCTCTCCATTGCGCAAGTGATCGCGAGCGAGGAGATCCAACCACGATTGTGGACGGCGACGGCCCCGCGGAGAACGTACAACGCGGTCGTCATCCCGGATTGCATTGCGCAGCGCGCGGAGATGTTGGAGGACTTCTCGGAGGAAAAGCCGTTGCGGCCTCCCTCGTCGTATCCTCGACCGGCGCCACCGAAGGCCCCCAAGAAGACGCCGAAGAGGAAGAGACGCCACCCGTCGCCAGGAGCACAAGGCAGCAGGATCGACGGCGACGAGGAGGTGATTCAGCCCGCGCGTAGGCGGAATCCTGACCCCGTGCCTGGGAGTGCGGCGACGCTCGTTAAGGAGACTATCGTGCCATCGCCGCCCTTTCCACGTGTGCCCGATCTCAATCTTGATGGAGTCGGGCCATCATCATCACCAGCAGCCGGAGGAGGAAGCCGAATGGGATTTCCGGATCCCATATCCAGACCCCCCGTCCTCGAAGGACCTCTCCGTTCCCGCCAGCCACCCCGGGGTGCCCCGGTCATTGACATTAGTAGTTCCTCCAAGTCGGACGGTCCATCCGACAGAGGTGGACTTCATGGTGGAACCCGCCACCATCAGGCTCGAGGCCATCGCGGGGGCGCCGCGCCCTGATCCGACATGGGAGCCATATCTGACACCCCCTTTTCAAGGGTGTATTGCGGCGCGATTAGCTGGGACGCTCATCTACGAGACCGGGCAGCGTCCCCATGCGATGTACCACTTCCTTGTCTTCGCCGCGTGGAAGCGGGAGCGGCGGCCTTACACCGAGACTCATGTGGTGATGACGGGTCCAGAGCCCCGATCGGTGCGCAAGCGGGTGGTGCGAGCGGTGGCGGATCTGGCGCCACGTGTCCTGTCTCATGTGTCGGGGGCTTTCCTCTATCCCTCGTTCGTGCAGCACCACTTCCAAGAGGAAGATGCGCCGATGACTCCCGCGGCGATGGCCGCTTTTCTTCCGCCTATTCCACCCCCTCTCAATCCCGACATAGATCACTTCCTCTGATCACCCCTGTCTACCTCTCCCCTGTTCTGTCCTTCTCCTTCTCTTTATTGTCTTCTTCTCCTATCTCTTAAGTTCGCGCGTCGGGACACACTGTGTATAAAAAAAAAAAAAAAAAAAAAATTAAAAAAAATTGAGAACTACTTACCGATCGGGCCAGCTGAAGATGAAGGGGCCGCCCGATCGGATGTATACTATGAGAGGAGGCGATGGAGGATGCAGTATGCATCCACGTAGATTAGGAAGATGACCGGGCCAGCTGACGATGAAGAGGCCGCCCGATCATCCAAGATATGATGACATCAGCAGTCGGGAGACTGCTAATTTTTCGGAACCCCCTGCGTATCACATATGTGATAGGCTCAGATCCGTACCGCGCGGCTTGCCGTATCCCTGAGGAAAAATCCCGCGGAAGCCCCGAAGTACGGACACAGACAGAAAGGGGGTTTTCCTTCTTTTTGCTTTTGTTTTCTTTTTGAAACGACTTTTTCATTTTGTTTGGTTAATAACTCCCGCGCGGGCGAATAGCGGCCGCGGTATGAAAAGCAAGAAACGGTTTCGGTTGGAACATTTTTTTTTGAATTTTTGCGCGCGCGCCTAAGCTCCGACTTCTTCGCGCGTCTTGCACCCCCGTTTCTTGTTTTGCATCCCCGCGCCATCTTCCCTTTTTGCTGCGCGCGTTTTCCCCATGCAGGACTCTTCGTCTTCCCCTCCGCCCAGCTCGATCCTTACTCCGTGAAGTGATTGGCCGCGTAGTTGGGATGCTCGGATCAATGTGGAGAGCGGGAAACCGCGCACCACTTGAACGGACACCCCAATGACGCAGGACCATGCCATCCCGCGGGTCGAACCCTCTAACTCCCCACCTCCCTCCTGTCCTGCTCATTTACAACCTGCGCTGCCCGCACCTCGCGCTGACAACCCGCCGCCTCCCACGCTATAAATTTGTGCAACCCTCTCCTCTCTTTCTCTTTGATCTCGGCTGCAATGTTGCGCGAGCTATGCGCGAAAATCCACGGCGACGAACAGGCTCGACGAGCCCAAGGACGGGCGGAGTGACGACGTGGGGTGGGCCCGCGGTAGTCTTGGGGCGAAGCAGTCGGAGGGACTGAGCAGTGGTGGGGATTGGACGCCGGCCACGGCAGGACCTTGTGACTATGGTGGTCGGTGGTCTCGGGAGGTTTTGAAGGTTGCGCCTGGGGGCGGCAGTTAATTGAATTTTTTGTGTACAAGGACTCGCTTTAATCTTCATTGCTGCTTTGTCTATGCATGTCGTGTGTGTGAAGCCCCGAGTGATGGGAGCTGGTTGTGCGCATGAGTGATGTCGAAGGTCTATGGATGATTAGATGTCTTGTCAAGGGTTGTTGATTGCATGCATGTCTGTGTGTATGTACTTGTCCGGGTGGGGACGGGGAAACTGAACTGGGGGACCGTCTGCTTAGGAGTACGAGTGTGTTGATCCTGTTGCTTCCCTCCCCTCCGCGGTCTTTCCTGCGCGCAAAGCGGGTTCCGCGTAACTCACTCTCTCCCTCTCTATCGCCTTTCTTTTTGAACTGATAGTCATCGCTTTTAGAACTTCTCGTCCCTGCACCGGTGACGTCAACCGCCTGYGTCCGCACGCGCGGTCGACGCCCCCGCAAGGGCAAGGGAGCTTAGATTTCGTCATCTTCTTCCGACGAACCCACCTTGAGGGAGAAGAGTTGTGTCGAGTGTTGTATGGAGTCGGTGTTGGTTCGGATGACCGGGAGCGTGGGATTTTGCCCGTGTTCATCGCTCACCTCCGATCGTCTCATCTCACTACCGACCTTCCCCATTGCAGATGACGACAGCGTCTACTGCGATGCGGATGTATGGCGCGCGCTGAGACGGACGGAGCAAGTGTG